GGGGGGGGGGGGGGGTATGACCTGGGAGTTGGGCCGGAACAAGTCCACAAGGCCCAACTCCACCGAAACGAGAGCTCTGACGGAACCTATCAGAAGAGACGATGACTTAACGGATCCTGTCGATCTTTGGGGACGCGTGAAATCCAGAAACGCAACTGGATGCACGAACGGAAGCGGACGGTTACGGAAATGCACGGGCGCCCTCAGGCTGCTGGGTTGAGGCAGAGGGGGTCGCGGAGTAAGCGTCAGGCAATTAATGCGAGGTACAGAGAGCAACGGATCGAGAACGTAACAGAACGAATCTGAACTATCAAATGGAAATCCCTTCACCAAATAATAAATTAGGAGAACTCACCGGAGCTGGTGCAGCTGGTCCGTGAAGCCTGGGAACAGCATCAACCAGAGGAGCGTAGCTTCTGAGCAGGGTGGCGAGCCGAAGGGAACCAGAAATCGAGAACGTTATCTGTATCGGTAGCCGGAGTCGCCTTGTGACCGTGAATCGAAAAATCACGTCACAATACACACAAGTACGTGGGTCTCTAGGATAATGAAAATTCCTAATAAAAAGCTAGCCCCCCTGGAAGAGTCCCAGGGGCCGCAGTCTGTCTCTTGGGGCCGCAGTGTCTGTGTGGCATAAGATGGTGTGTATAAGACTTGAGAGAAAAGTTTTGAGAGTCTATAAAATGTCGAAAAATGAGTTAGCGGAAGTTACGAAAATATCGAATGACCATATAAAATGAAAAGTCCAACTGCTAAAATGCAACCAGAAGTAACGTATAAGTTGCCAATAAAGGCAACATCGTGTAAATGTATAGTAACTGTACGGAGGATATTGAAAGTTCACCCCTTGAGTTTTTAATTTCAGAACTTTCTGAGCACAGTGAATCTGTTCCTTGAGTAAAATCGATAAGGGGGTGCTGAAGTTTTACAGGGCCAACGGGGGATGGGAGAAGTGACTGGCTTAAGTCTTTTAGATCGACTCGATCGCACCCGAATCCCTGATCCACTGAAACGTCCCATCCTGTTGTTTCGGATAACTCACTTCTATGGATATACCAATTTTATACAGGGCGGTTCAACTGGAACGTACAAACTTGTGGTGGATCACTGACATCTATCGTACAAATTCTTCGGCGAAGAGAAGCAAGACAGATAATCACAAATTTGGTTATATTTATCGATACTAACTCGACGGCGAAAGAAATAATACAGTTTTGGAAATTCAATGAAAATCATAAAAGTGACATATGTATGTCGTCCTGTTCCCTGGGGATTCCGATCAGGCGCGAAGGTCGACAGGTCAAAAATAAGGTCCAGGGATGCTCTGGACATCCAAGTTCCTTAACAATATTTTCTTCAGATTTTTTTCACGACATTCGGCAAGCGGACGAATCACTGGGATGGGACTCGGAACAGCAACTTTCTGTTTCTCAAATTTCGGACAGAAGCAAGAACTGCCGAATGGACGGGAGAAAGGAGGAGATAGGAGCTACCGACGTCATCGCCAGCCAGGCCCACGTGAAATGCATGTTAATTCGTTTATAGTGCATAGAGAATCCAATGTGCACGGGGAGGACGCTCACGGCGATTAGAAACTTTGATAATGATAAATTCGAGCCGAGGAAAGAAGGGAGGGTGGTAGAGGTAAGATATTTTTATGTAAATTGTCAGTTTGCCTTTTACATATATGACTATACATATGTATTGCGGGCACAGTGCGTACGTCCTTTTATATAATTTCAATGGGCCAAAATGGAGGCGCATTCGACGATTGGGAATGGGCTTGGAAACTGGGCGAATTGGGGCAGAGTCGGAGCTTAAATTCATCGGATGCATTTCCGTTCGTTACGTCTGACTTTACGCGCGGAATCCGCGTCGCCCGTTCGAGTTTCGAATGAGGATTTAACGTATTTCGAGCGGACAGATTTGCTAATCATCCCAGTATCGTGTCGCAGGGAAAACAATAAGCCCGAATTTGTAGGACTGATGGAATTTTCACGTTCGCCGGTTGTTTAGCTGCCGTGTATTTTCGTCTATTTTCGTGTATTTTCGTGTATTTTCATCCGCGACACAGTCCCTGTCGAGCTGAATGCACACGTGACACTGCAGATGCGAAAGTGACTGAAACGAAGCAGTGAAGCGTCCCCACCCCAGCACTTATAGAGGTAAGAAGATTTCCTTGTGATTCTAATCTTGCAAAAGCGAATTAAATTCTCATACGATGCTTCTAATTGATTTCGCATGACGTTTACGGATACGTAGATACCTTTTAGATTTATCGTCCCCGTGCAAAGAGAGAGAGTTACAGAAGCAGGGACGCCAATGGCGGGCGAAGCTTTTAAGCGAAGGAAGCTCACTGAAAGGTCGCGTGGTCGAACGGGCCCGAGAGCAAAAGCACAAGAGCCGGAAGCCCAGAGAGAGATTAGAGCACGTTAGAGAAAGAGAAAGCGGCCTTATTAGGGATGACAGTCGTGACTAAGGGCAGCAGCCAAGGCCGCCGGCCGGTGCCTCAACATTCCGATAGGCGTGCCGATGGCTGTGCTGGAACTATACTGGGTTTAAGGACACAGGGGGG